CGATGGTGGGAGGGACTGGGCCCGGGTCGCGCGCGGCCTCACGTGTGGCGCCCGCCGTGCAGTGTCGCCGCCATGGCTCCCGCGAAGAAGGGCGGCGAGAAGAAGAAGGGGCGCTCGGCCATCAACGAGGTGGTGACGCGCGAGTACACCATCAACGTGCACAAGCGCATCCACGGCGTGTGAGTGCCGCCCGCCGCGCCGGTGTGTGCGTGGAGCTGTGCGTGTGCCGGATCGCGTGAGCCCTGAGCTGGGGAGTGACTGCCTTAGCGGGTCAGCGCCGCGTGGGCAGCGCTAACTCTGTCTGACGAAGCGTTGGGCCTGAGAGCTCCACAGCAGCCAGGTGATGGAGGGGGCTGTTGTAAAGCTGTTGTCTCTCTTGGGCACCCTTTAAATGTGAGCAGCTGCAGTCACATGGAAGAAAGCTATATCCAAAGCAAAGCAGTTATGTAAACTGCTGATGTGAGCTCACGGGAGAGTAAGAGTGTTTGTGGCAGTTTGCTTTAATCTTCATGCTGATGTTCCTGTTTTAAGGCTCACCCTTGTATTTGGGCAGAAAAAGTGAAATACTCTATGCTTAATGTTTCTGTCATTGGCATCACTTCCCTCTCCCAATGATTTCTAGCCCTAAATACCAGAAGCAAGATATTACTCAGCAGAAGCCATCACCTATAACAGGACTGATGTGGATTTTTGTACCACGGATGTAGTTCCGTGTTGGTTACGTTACCATTACTGCGCGGTCCCCCCGTGGGCCCTCTCCTGCTCAGGGTGTCTGTGAAAGCCGTGTCCCTTCAGGGGTACTGGCAAGAAGTCAGGATGCTAGCAGAGAGTCCAAAGCCCCGGGAGAACTCGAGAGTTGCAGGATTTTGTTGAAATCTCTCCCTGTAACTGTGTGGTTCCTGTTAGGGACAGACATTGATGCTGGTGGATGTTTGATAGAGTCAAAGTCTGATCGTGATCTGGTGCAGCTCAGGCTGCTGAGCAGTTACCGCAACTTCTTGGAGTGTCTGTGTGTGCGTGTGCGTGTGTGTGTGTGCAGAAAGGGAGGTTGTGTGAAGGCCGAGAGCGCTGGCAGTTCCCTGAAGCTGAAGAGCTGCTCTGTGCTGGTACCAGGGGCTTCAAGAAGCGGGCCCCGCGTGCGCTCAAAGAGATCCGCAAGTTTGCCATGAAGGAGATGGGCACCCCCGATGTCCGCATCGACACCAGGCTCAACAAAGCCGTCTGGGCTAAGGGAATCAGGTGCGTTCCAAAGGAGTGAGGTGCCTTCCTGTGGCTTTCCTTGGGGGGGGAAGCTTGCGCCTGTGCGTTCGGAGGGGTAAAGAAAATTGTGTCCTTAGTGACACCTGAAGGTACCTGGGGTTGGTGTCACGTGCCAGGATAGAGGTACTGACTGACCAGTGCTACGCAGCTTGTTGAGGTGTGTTTTAAACAGGACCGTTAAGCTTGGCTTGAAAGTAAAAGTGAGAAGTCATTTGGAGGCAGGGAGAAAACTTAAATGCCAAATTAACTGCCTTTAACGCATACGAAAGTGGCCCGAAGGGTATTGACTGCGAGGAGTGGGGCCTCTTAGACTGTACTAAAATGGGCAGAAATAGCTGTGTATGCAAGCGATGACCCCGTCACACAGGAGCAGACCTCACTTGAAGCCATTGGGAATGAGGTGCCCAAGTCATTTCTCCTGTTTGGTGCTGGCTCTGATTTAGTATGAGCTCTGTGAGACTGCAGAGCAGGGAGGAATTTCCTTTTTGTATTTTACAGAACAGAGTACTTGGAGCTTCCCCAAATTCTGAGTTTATTATTTGAGGTGGGAAGGTCCTTTAACAACGGTGTGGACAGACTGTTTTGTGCCTCCCTGCAGCAGTCTTGAGGGGAGGAAGTAAAGCTGGGACTACTTGCTTGTAAGCACAGAACCTTTTATGTAATTTAGCTGTTGGTGCACGGGCTGTGTGAGGAAGAACTGTTGGTGATAGAAGGTGTAGCCAGAAAGGGGACCTGGGTTCTACACTCTGATGCTCACCTGAGTCACTACATGACTCTGGGCACAAAGTTTGGATGTTACGGCTCTGATAGGGGCGCCAGACTTTCAGAACAGATTTTTTTATTATTATTATTTTCTGTTCCAAGTAGAAAATGCAGACCAGCTACTTGCTGATCCTCTTAGCCTCATCACACCTTCCATAATATTTTTCTAGGGCTGCTTGTGTCTCCACCTTTACCACTCTGGCTGGATTATAGGCCCTCATTTTATTTGGGGCTCAGTTAGATCTGAAAAAAAGCAGGTTTCTCTACGGCAAAGAGAACAACTCTGTTCTTGTAAAGCTAAGGCAGGTACGGACTTGACTCCTCCTGCCTTTGTGTAAGTTCATGCAGCTTAAGAAGTTGGGGGTTAGAAACCATGGAGAGAACCTTTACTTCCTTTTGTGCCATGAAGTGTGCTGTTTTCATGTGCATCTTGCTGAAAAATGACACTTTATCAATGTCTTCTCCTTTGTAGGAACGTTCCTTACCGTATCCGTGTGCGCTTGTCCAGGAAGCGCAACGAGGACGAAGACTCACCCAACAAACTGTACACTCTGGTCACCTATGTGCCAGTCACCACCTTCAAAGGTCAGGGCTCTGCTCTCTCTTCTTCCTCCCTGCCCTGTTTTCTGAACAAGCAGTGGGGTCAGAGGGCTCCTCCTACACTGCACAACTCCCATGAAAAGCATGTTGAGGGGGCCTGATGATGAGGGAGCTGCAGTAGAAGCTAAATGCAGGATTTAGTGAAGTTGCGAGAATGAAGTTGAGAGAATTCTGAGTTTTGTCTTGATATTTGAAGCATTTGTGCATCTACTTTGTTCTCCGAGAACTAAAGCAGCAACCTACCTTTGAAACCCCAGGTGCTCCTTATTGTCAAGATTTGTATATTTATATTTATGCACATGTGGCATTGTACTGATAATAGGTAATGATGCTTTTTTGTTTGTTTGTTTTGCAGGTCTACAGACAGTCAACGTAGATGAAAATTAAATTTGATTTTAATTACAATAAAACTGTAAAAACAATGTTTATTCTGACTAAGGTTTCTTGCTGACCCATGTTTTCAAGGGCTCTGTCCAAGAAGAATTGAGCTGAGCAGGGATGAGCTGTTTTGCTTTTTGGGGGGCTTGCACAGAGTGGTACAACTCTTGCATTTTAAATCCTTTAGGCCTTTGTTAGCTCTGAGTGAAAAGGGGAGGTCCCTGCGAATATGCGGGTAGCAAACTCCCACCTTTTGTTCCTCAGGGAATTAAGAGCCAGTAGACGGATTTTCAGCTGAAGGCCAACTTGCAGAAGATGGTCAAGTCAGATCAGTACCTCAGAGCTGTGCGCTGCGGCAGCTACAGCAAAAGCTGCTCTCCACATTTGGCCTCCTCCTGGTCTAGGTAGAGTCAGGTGGCTCTTCCCAAGTAGGTCCATGCCCTCCAGTGAAAGATGAGATTCTGACCAGTGAACCAAGGGGGAAGACACTAGCTTAGGAAGTCCATTTTAATCCAGCAGGGATAAGGGCACTTAACCTTGTGTCAATCAAGAAATACTGTCACCGCACATCTAGTACAAAAAGGGTTTATTGAAAAGTGCATGTTTTCACAGACCAACATCAAAAGCACAGTCCATGTACACTTAACATTTCAGCAAGACATAAAACTGGGATATGGTCAAATATATTAAAATAGTTTCAATTACCAGCATTGAAACAAGTTTTCAGTATTAGTGCAAAAAAGGCAACCTAAACAGACCGCAGACAGTAGCTGAGACGTGTTTTCCCCTGTTTGTTTTTAAAACAGAAAAAAAAAAATACAAATGGAGCCAGCCTGTGCTCTCCCAGTACGGAAGAGGGCTGCAGCATCTTCACACTGCAGACAGATGTTTCCTTTTACATTCAAAACAAGGACATAATAAATCAATGGCACAAAACAACCTACACACCCTTTAGCTTTTAAAGCTCTTGAACTGAAACCCACAGGCCAACAACGTGTTTATGAGAAGCACACTGCTAACTGGAAGCTCCTAGGGGACATGCTTTGGCGTAAGCTCAGGGCGTTTGGTTTCCACGCGACTGCTACTGCTGCGTGCTCGGTTTGGGGTGTTCCCCTCGGGCCGGGCAGCTCGTGGCCGTTGTTTTGAGACTGTACTGGTTCAGCTTCGCGTTCTCAAGCTTGGGCTTCAGTTCCAAGGGTCTTTCAAAGAAATTAACTAAGGACTGTTCGGTCAGGAGGGAGGCCAAAATATGTTCAAAAGAGACAGTCCAGTCCCCCTCAGTCACAGGTGAGGGTTGAGGGTCTTTGAGAGGGGACTTCACAGTGTCAGTAAAAACGGCATCCGGCTCCAAAGCCGAGGCCTCGGGCTGCACGTCCTCAGCGAACTCCTCCGAGCCGCTCCCCAGGCTGATGCTCCTTTGTCCCACTTCTCCGATCTGAAGCAGGAGCGTCGTCACAGTGGCAATGGCTTGGTATAAGTCATTCTCCTCTGGATCCTCGTGAAACATGCTGTACAAGGTTTTGCAGAATTGAATGAATTCCCGCTGGAAGGCATGAAAAACTGTAAAATCGGGCTACCAAACAGCCACCCTAAAACAGTAACTGAGGCAGGGGAGAGTACAGCGCTGCAAAGCAAGGCCGGGTGCTGGGTACGGCCACGCTCATTTATAACTTACCTACTTAAAAACAATACTAGGGGGATTTTGACCTCCACAGACTGAACAAACCCTGGTACTGCAAGTCAGGAGGGGAACACAAAAGTATTTTTCTGCCTTAACTAGAACAGGGGATTAGAAGCATATAGAGGAACCAAGGGCAAGTAAGAGGATACAATTCATCGTAGGAATTCCTAGGGTGGCCCTTACGGAAAATAGGACAGAAAAAGCCACCTAAAGGTTTGGAAGCTTTTTCTTCATCTCTTGCCAACTCCTTTTCTTCTAATAACATTCGGACCTCGCCCCTGTTCAATCCCTTCTCACCTTCCCTCGTTCATCCATCACTCTTGCCTACCACCCTATACAGCAGTTTATATAGTGTGTGGGGAAATATTTGGGAGCCCTCCATTTTCACATGTGTAAAAAAGAGGGATGTGGTTTGTGAGGGACCTGAGGAGGCTCCGGCAGGCGAGGGCTCTGTGAAACACTGCGTGGCCCTGCCCGGACTGGGCACGCGTGCCCCATCAGCAGCATGGGCACCCCGAGGACGGCACCCTGGCCACCCCGGGGATGGCCCTGGCCCTCCTCTGCGCTGCTCCTCGTGCCTCCTGCAGACACAGCAAGTACCTGGGCGGCTCCGCGCCAGCAGCGGCACCCAGGCCCTTGGAGAGAGGCGGCAGGAAGGCAGAGCCGGGCAGCGTGTGGCTAAGCTGGGGCAAGTCCCAGGTCACAATGGACTGAGAGGAAAAGGGGGAAGTTTTGCCTGAAAGGCAGAACAGTGATACGCATCCTCCTAAGCTTACAGGAATGCTCTGGGCTTAGGAGGGGAGCAGCTTCTTCCCAGCTCGAACCACCTCTAACGCCATGAAATTCTTTCTATTCACCACTCTGAGAAGGAAGAGCCTCTGGCAAAGGAGCAGAGAGCCCGTGAACATCCATTCCCCCTGTTCTGAACAGTCCAGATATCCAGATACACACACACACACTCACGCAAAAGGGGGAAATAAAAAGAGCTGAACAGTTGCATTTAGTCACATCTTCTTAGGTCTCTTCCCACTTCTTTACAAATTGACTTCAGCCCCTGCTATACGTACCTGGCTCATTTTTGGCAATTCCTTTTCAGTTTTAGTATCCTTTTCTTTGGCTAGGTCCCTAAGCATCTGCTTCAACTGCTTTTGGTAATCTACTGCATCTCCTTGTGTGGAACAGACACAAAAAGTAGTTGATTATTATTTTTGTTAATTATTAATTTTATTATTTATATTATTTTTGTTAGTATTTATTATTTCTAAGGCCATTACAATAAATTTGTATTTCGAAATAAAACTCAGAGAGTAGGAATAAACGATTGGGAAAAACAAATGTAAAGCTGGATATATCACCCGTACGCACCCTCATTAGAGGGCCATTTCAGACATACCATTTGATTTTCCAATAACTAGTGGTCTTGAAGTTGACAGCAAAGGATTCTTTAATGGTGACTGGCAGTCTCTCTCATTTTCTGTGAGAGCTACATAAAAAAAAAAAGTGAGAAATCCAATGTTACATAATGATTAAAAGCTTTTAAAATAATAATAGGGTATGGCTGAGGGCTGTTTAAACAGCACTTCATTAAATCATAGTGTAAAATTATGTTAAAATAAGATTGGTGCTGCAGCAGAAGAGTAGGAAGCTTGCCAAGAAAGGCACATTAATGGAGAGCTTTGCGCATCAAAGAAGCTACAACAAAAACGTGTCACCTAAGCAAGACAGGACCCAACTGCGATAAGATTTCTTATATAAATGGAGTGCCAGCCATTCAGAATTTTTAATTCGTATCTCATCTGCAAGTAGCCACACAACAGACTGCAAAACACTTCAGACTCCAGCAGACAGGAATCTTAACATTTTCCTAAAAATTTCACCCTTACCCCCCAAAGTTCCAGTTTGAGGTGTTTTTATATTGCAGCGAACGTAATTACACAGACAAGCCCCACGTGTTCCCGGCTGGGAAGGAAGGTAAGGTTCTTCACTAAGCAGCCTTTCCCCAAAGTTTTACACCAGAAGTTGTAAGGAAAGTGTTCTTTTTTTTTTTCCTCATATTTCTTACCAGGTGGGATATGCAGCTTATACAATAGCTTTATCTTTTCATTCATTTCTCCATTATACATAACATCTGCAAGAAACAAAAATAAAAATCTCAAGAAGGATGTGGACTAGAACATTTACTTCCACAGTTTCAAACAAGCCTGTCATCTCTGTGCACAAAAAGAGAGTTGTTTGCACGGACAACCCATGCAAACACATGGCCAGGACCTGGCAAGGAGAGTCTAAGTTCTGCTGATCAATGAGGAACAGCAGGTGACAACCATCTGTGTTGTTCTTTGTTCTTGTAAAAGAGACTGTGAGTACTTAACTCTGGGGAACTTAATCATCTTTTAAAAATACCAAAGAGGATGTCAGGGATGTAGCAAAGGCTGTTTGTTGCCACAGATTAACAAAACTGCGAGAAGGGAGACACACAAAGCTCCTTTCCTTTAGGGCCATATTCTTCATATTTCTTCCCGTCAGCCCTTACGGCTGTTCTATAGGATAAGTCCAAAACAGTTAAGAACTTCACATGTGACATTACTAATTTTAATGACCAACAGAAATGAGATTCTAAACTTTTAAATGCAGTAAAATGATGTGAATAACTTAAAAAAAAAATCTTGAAAGCTTAAATGGTGAGAATACAGGTTTACTTACTTTACTGAATCTTTCAATACTGATTCCTTTTTTTCTTATTTTTTCTTATTTATTTATCTATTTATTTAGGGTCAGGCAACAGTTATGGGTCACTTATCTTCAGCAAAGCTTTGGAACGAGCAATCCCATTTCATCAAACAGCTGAAGGCTGGGAGAACAACTCTGCCAGGGCTCTCAGTCCCTGCTGCTAATTGCTGACATATGGGTCAAACAAGAGCCTGCCTTACGAGATTACACTGAAAGTCTTCAAGGAGCAGTTGAAAGGTTCGCTGAGATTACAAGGGCTGAATTGAACAAGCAGGTAGGAGAGAGGGCTGTTCCGTGAACTAGCTAGAGAGCGCTAGTTTCATTAATTATATTTCCCCAGAAAAAAAAAGGGGAAATGTGTTTGTATCCTCTTCTCTCCATCATACCCTATTTTAAAACCCGCATCCCACCCAAAGGCCACCCCGTGTGCCCCCTTTCCCGCAGCGCGGAGCCGGGGCGTCCCGGAGAGGCCGATACCCAGGCAGCTGGCGAGCGCCTTGAACTCCACGAGATGGTCCCTGTTCTCATCCAGGAGCCGGAACATCCTCTCGGCGAGGACGTCGGTGTGTTCCCCGCAGGTCCAGGGCGAGAGGAGCCTGTAGAGGCTGCAGAACTGCTGGGCATCTATCCGGTACTGCTCGGCGTACGGCCTGCTCGGGTCGTGGCGCTCGGCCGCCGCGCTCGCCGCCTCCCAGTAGCACCGGATTAAATGCTCTCTCTGGGGGGAATCAAAGGCAGCAGAGAGCAGTTACAGGGTGAGCTGCTGACGGGAGCGTGGCTGGCAGAAAGACGTGTGCACAGCAAGGAAAGCACCAAAGCTCTGCGCGTGTGTGAGCTGGTGTGATGGTACCAGGACCATTCCTAGCAGGAAAAAGGAGTCTGTAATGAGAGCAGCCAAGCTCACTCGTGATTCCCAAATCCACTGCAGGTTACTGAAACTCTGTTAGCCACATCTGGCCAGGGCACCTCGAACCATTAAACAGTACAAAGGAATGGAGGAAATTGAGGATGTCATAAACACTTCACATGTTCCTTCATTCTCCCTGACTTCTCTATTTGGATACTGCTGCTATTTATCTTCCTTTAGGGACCAGTTGATGTAAAACAGAGTCCTAAGGAAACAAAGTGTCCCAGGGAAGAAAAGAGAGCTAAGGAAACTGTACAAAACCAAACAAGGAAAGGGAAGGAGAGCAAGTGAGTCCAGGATCAAACAGGCAGCAACACGGAACAGGAGGAGGGAAGTACTGAAGAACACGCTGTCCTCCTGTGCAGCACCGTCCTAGCACAACTGATGGAGGGAGGATAAATTGAGTGATCACTGCATTAATACTGCTCTTTAATAACTGGACAACCACACAAAGGACCAAATGACAAGGTCTCATCTACATAATATTATACAAGCACATGAACCCCCGAGCAATTCTACACACAACATCCCATTCAGTTCTGCTAAGCAAAAGCTGGAAATGACACCCAGAAGCCTCAAACAGCCTCAGCCCCAAATTTTCAAGTAGACAGACCTTGAACAAGTCATACAGTTCCTCTAAATCTTCAGGAAGAAGCGAAACGTCTGGGATGACAACTCGGAGCTAAAAAGGAAATAGAGATGTCAGTGACGATCCCTTCTACTGTCACCACTGCCACGGGCAGGACCGCTGCGCTCTCCCACTGATGGTCCTGACGTTGCACAGCTGCAACTGCAGAGCTGCAGGGACTTGCAGCATCTCCCCCCACCTTAGATTCCCTGGCTGGACAAAACTGTGGAAGAGAAGTCCCTGCAGGGCCACTAGAAACAAAGCCAGGAAGCCTACGCTGCAGGTCACAGGAAGCTGGGGAAGCCTCACGTCACACTCGCTCTCTTCTTCTTCTTCTTAAGCTGAGCCCTGGGTGTCTGCCTAGGGCCACGCTGACCCAGCAGCCACTTCTTTGTGTTTTAACCACCCTGATAAGTAATGCCCTTAGCTGCCAGAAAAAGAACAAGAACCTCGGCAGCTGGGAAAAGTTGTTTGGTTTCCAGAGTCAGTGACAACTCTTCTTTTTCTCATGGTACGGGGACTTCAAAACAAAACAAAACAAAACACTAACTTGCAGTTAGTGCAAGGTTGGGGTGTTAAACTACTACAGTGCCAACAGCACCCTACTCACCACGTTTTGCTTGGTTGTGTCTTCGTGGCTTTGCAGAACACGGATTCGGTGTTTGTAGCGCATGTGCTCTATCTGTTCCACAGAGTGGTCTCCAAATTTCTACAACGGAGGAACAGAATTTTATCAGACCAGAAACACAATTTGGAAAACACTGTGAATCCTTAAATAACCTATGGACTAAAGAACACTCAGTCTTTTGTTCACCTATCAATGCAGTTGTATTCATACAAAATAGACATTTACACTACACCCTGCATTGTGCATTTGTGCACATTTTCGAGGATTCCTTAAAGATGTGCATCAAGTATGAAAACATCCATGATGAATTTAACCTCCTTAGATTATAATTTACCCGATCAATAGGCACCAAAGAGTATTTTACCTCATAGGAATCATGAATTAGGTTAGCTATTTCAGTCACAGGAGAGGCTTCCTGATCATCACTGAAAAATGCATGGTGGTTACCAATAGGTGGCAGAGGACTTTCTTCGTTTTTAACACGCTCTAAAAACCTAGAGGGAACAAATACAAGCAATATAGGACACTTGGCAGCACGCTCTTCTCCAGGTAAAATATAAATAATCAGGTAAGCCTTACGGCTCGGACTTAGCAGAAATAAACTGTTTTTTTTGGCTGCTAGCCTTGCCAAAAACATCTTCATTACTAATCAGCGCAGGAACAGCAAGCCAGCCAAATGACTAAACTCTGCGCAAGGAAGAAACCCCGGGTCCCCTCGCAGCCTGGAGCGGGAAGCCCGTCACTGGCGGGAAGCCGCGGTGGATTCCGCACATCCCGGCTCCTCGGGAATGGCCGAAGCCGCTGCTGAAGGCGGAGCGCGGCCGCAGCGGGTCCCGACGCGCTCCACGTGCTGAGGCGGGGGCCGCGCGGCGCGCCGAAAAATGGCTTTGATCCCGTCGTAGAAGAAGCAGTCCACCACGTTCACGGCGCTTTCCAAGGGCATGATGCTGAGGAAAAGGGTAAGGAACCACGAGAGAGAAATGGAAGCTAGTGGAGTCAGGTCCTTCATATGCTCCGCCAGCTCGGGAAGCTGCTCCTTTATGAGCTCTTCAAATACCGACTGGTCTACCTGGGCACCTGCAAGTCACAAGGAAATCGCATCAGCCGGGACTGAAGCAAGAAAAATGTTCTTTAAAGCTACTCATCACTGGCAGCTGCCAACTGCAAGACTCTGTGGCATGTGAGCTGACACGACACGCACAGACCTACACTGCAAAGCCCCGTTATCTTCCGGCCTTGATCTGAGCCCCGGCCCTGACGTCTGCCCTCCTCACCACACATCTTTCTGCAAAAAGACCAGGTTGATCTCTGCTAAGGGCCTTTAGGGTGCTGTAAAACAGCAACAGCAGCAGCTGTTGGTTTTGGCTAAGAGAGCACATAATAATTAAGTGCTAGAATAAAACAGTTTTGAAGCATTTTACTGTGCAGCTTGAAACCTAAGCAATGAAAATAGGAGAGTACACACTCCTCTCCTCCAGCGTATGGACCCAGGAAAGGGGCAGCACAGCCTTCATTTTCTTAGGAAAACACAAGACTGTATCAAAGACAGGTGCATACACTGCACAGGAGGAAACATATTATACACATATATGTATGTATGTGTGGATATAGATTTTTTTTTCTTTTTTTAAAGAACAGAAGTTTTCTGCTATTCCCAGATATAAATGCAGCTTGAGACCTAAGCAATGAAAATAAAAGATTCCTCTCTTCTAGCGTATGGAACCAGGAAAGGGCCAGTACAGCCTTCATTTTCTTAGGAAAATACAAGACTGTATCAAAGACAGCTGCATACATTGCACAGAAGGAAAAATATTATACACGTATATGTACATATGTGTGGATATAGATTTTTTTTCTTTTTTTTTTTAAAAAAAAAAAAGAATAGAAGTTTTCTGCTATTCCCAGATATAAGTTTTCCCATCTCTCCCAGCCAGTCTTTAAAAACGTTCCCTGAACACAAAAAGCAGTTAGCCTTGCAGTCGTTTTCTGCCTTTCCTTGGAAATTATCGCACACTGAGGTTCCCTCTCTCTGTCTACCTTCTGCTAATATCACAAGACAGCTCTGCTATGAAACAGCCAACGCACATCCCTATAACTCAGGATCACCGTGGCTGAAAGGCAGGATACAACTTGGACACTTTTTGGCAGAGAGACAGCATCTTTTGATCTTGCATCCAAATCTCAATAAACCATATATTATATTTCTCCATCTTAGAACCTCTCACAGCAAGCCACAAAAAGTTTCCACTAGTGGCTGAACAAGCCAAAAATAAGTGCCCAGAGATATATGAAGAGTTTCTGAGCAGCACATCGGGCATGGTGCTTGCTCTGAAGCAAAAGCCTTCTCATGTCAGATGGCTGTCAATAAGGAGGGTAAAGAAAACAGAGAAGAAAAAGCAACAGCTGTACTCAACAGAATGCACAGGCAGTTGTTTTTGTTCTTTATGTTTTATAGCAGGCTCAATACAAACAATTTAATAGCCACAGTTAAGAAAAAACAATAGGGAAGGTTTTTAGGGGTATTTGAAGGATACCAGCAGAGAGATCAGCAGAGATACAGAAAAATCATTCCAGAGGCAACACGGGGGGAGAGTGGCAAAAGCAGAAGGTTTGAAGAAATGTAAAATGCTGCTCAGATCTTTTGCAGAAGAGCACTTCATGGTTAAATGTTGACACCCCAGACAGAAGTCAAATGGGTCTATTCAAGGTTATTCTTACGTCCTTCCCTCTCGTTAGTCATTCTGTATCTGGGTGGTTCAATCTCCAGTATCCAGGAACCACAGTGAGGCAGGGATCGCCAGGGCATTCACATAACAAACAAGAACCCAAGACACAAACTAAATGCCTTCTTCAAGATTGAAAAGGCAAATCAGAGCACTGAAGTGAGGCCTTCACTATTTCAGGAATGACAATAGTAAGAGGACAACAATCTAGCAGATAAAACGGGACAGATGGCCTGCAGGTCTGAGGACAAAGTATGGAAAAAAATCACAGTAGCATGACAATAGGCCAGGCATGACTCTCCCTAGGAAAAAGCTGGAAAGCCCAGCTACCAGCTATCTGCTTATATTTTTCCTATGTAGTGCAAAAGAGGCAAGGCCTGAGGGAATTCCTGAAGGAGGAGATGGAAGGTCATCCATTTACAAGCAGCAAAACAATGGAAAAGCTTGTAAAAGGACAGAACCATCATAGCGGGCATGATGGGAAGAGCTGGTCTTGGGATAAAAATAAAGGGGTTGGGTGGGTAGAATAGGGCTGTACTGCTAAGTACTCTAAGCAAGGAAAAAAGATACGGAATGTCATAGAAAAAAAAATAATAAGACCAAGAGAAGATGGGGCCAAGAAGAGCTGAAATAACCATGGTCATTGGCTCGGTAACCATTTTGCCTGTACAGATTATTGACTCACACTAAAGAGGAAAAAACATAATGCCACGTACTACAGTAGGGATCACTGGAACTATGCAGAGATCAAACCCTGGACAACAGTTTTGACAATATGGATAAAGAGTAAAAGTTGGGTCTTGGAAGTGTTATGACCACAAGCAGGAAGAAACAATCTCAAGTTTAGACAAGAGCTGCTTACAAATCAAAAAAAAAGGTCAAGTCAAATCTGAAGGCAAACTCATGAACTCAAGCAACAGGAACCAGAGCAGGCAGCGTGCAGAAGGTCAGTAAAACTAATCTGGCTGTACTAAAGCTGCAGAAAATAACCGCTCAATCAAGCAACGACGCTGTGCTAGCACTGCCCTTTTCTTTTGGATACAAAGGACTAGAAAGCAGACAGACACGGTAACCAAGACTATGGGCACTCAAACCATGTAGATTGCAGTCACAGTGAGTAACAGACCTGATACAATCCCAAATTTAAGGAGAACTCGGGGTAGCTATAACAGCAGGCCACAAAGGACCACTAAGGTTTATGTTGATGCAAAGAATGCTACTTATGGGCAATAAGAAAGCAACTCATGGGCAATAACCCAGCAAGCAGCACAGTTTTCGCTAAATCAGAACAAGCCCTAGGCTGATGATCTCTAGAAATATACAAGGATGGATAAAGGGCTCAGACTTTTAAAATCAAGGAAGGAATCAGGCAAATGTGAGGATAAATCATTAAGGCGGTAGTTTAAAATCACGTCAGAACTTTGGTTCTTTTCTCCAGACAAGTCAAATATTTACATTGCCTGATCCACTAGTTGAAGACACTACTGTCATTCAAAACATGGCAAAGCTCCTGGAGCATCCAGCTGACTCCAGAGCAGATCTACTTGAACCACTGCCACCTCCCAGGTCAGTGGCAAGGCAACCTCTGTGCAGCAGCACAGCACGGGAAGGCACCACGGTGCCATTCCGCAAGCAGGATATAGAAACCTTCCCGGCTTTCTCTCTCCTGCTCCTGGGCTGGCCAGGAGGGACCCACACCACTCCTGGCTCCCTGAACCTCTGCTGCCAGGAGCTTCCTCCTACCCCCATCTCCTCACAAGTCGCCCAGATCCCTCCCTTCACTATCACGATGTCATGGTAGACACTAAAGATGAAGCTTAGCACTGAAGAGAGAAAAACTATCAAATATTTCTATAGTAGGAGGAAGCAAAAATCACTGCAAGGAAAAAAGATACTTTTCTTTTGTATGCATACATAAACCATCATGTCAAATAGTTCAGCCCCTCTCTTTTTGTGCATTAGGCACGTAGTTCCTGCAGGCACAATTCCCAAGGATGTTTTCAGGCAGTCCCAAAAATAAGTGCATTATGACGAACTGAAAACAAGGCCAAGGCAGTGTAGAGCATGAACTGCAGAGGGACTAGGATTATTTCTTAACACTGCATCTCTCATTCAGAGGTCTAACAGGGTTTTCTGCAAAGTGCCTTTCCAGATGCAGGCCTGTATTACAGCAGCCCCCAGACAACACAGACAGATCAAAAACAGCAGCCCTAGCAAATCCTTCCCAACTGTCTCAACAGCCAGATTTTCTAATACCGAACATTGAACAGCGAAGACAAGCAAACTCTTGTTCCATTTTTATCTATGATTAGGTTTAATGCAACAGGCAAAAGCACCACCTCCTGCTGACCATCAGGAAAAAAAATGACAAACTATACAAGTTACACAACTATATGTAATTCTTGCACTACTTTAAGTTATTCGAATAAGAAGCAACATTACCCGGAACCTGAGCAAACATCACAGCTATCTCTACGCACTGATACAAGGACCCACTTCAGCCCTGGGTTATGGGCCTCTGAAGGGGGTCAAGTTCTTGGTCCCAAAGCCAGGCACTGCCCCTGCCCAGCTGGGCGCTGGGAAGGCGCCTGGGGGAGACACGAGCTCACCTATCACTCGGTGGTTGAAGTAATCTGGCAGCATTCGCTCGCACACAGCGACCAGCAGCCAAAACGCTTCTTCCTCTTTGGCATACAGCAGCAGCACGGAGGTCAGAATATTCATAGACTTACAAAGGCAAAGGAGAAAATGGGATTAGTGACAGCAAATCTTATGGGAGGGGGAAAAAAGCTAAGTTGGGGCTATTTTTAAGTAAAAGCACCCTAATGTGATGTAAACAAACAAGCAAACAAACAAAAAAACACAACAGAAGGAAGGCAATAGTGATATAATGAATACATAACTGCACTCCAGGTGAGATGTAAATGCATAACAAGTTTTTCAAGCTTACACATACTGCTTTTCATAACGGCAATAGGAAACAACTGCGAACTGCACAGTCCTGGATGGGTCCAATGCAAAGTAGGTAAGTGATAGCACAAAACGTTTGGGGGCTTGATCCTCCTACGTGTACTTCAAGCAGAGGAACTCGGTAGCTCAGGGATGGCGCACCTGGCAGTAGCCGATCCTGGGGTTGCGGTGCGCGTAGGCCGTGAGCACCCTGCGCAGCGCCGCGATGCCCGTCTCGCTCTGGAAGGCCGGGTGCTCGGGCAGCGAGCGGTGCAGGTCACGCTCGATCTCCTCCGTGGCCATGCAGCACCTGCCCAGGGAGGCCTCCACCAGGTGCGCGTAGTAGCCAGGGTGCAAAGCCAGGTCGGTCGCAGCGTCTGAGGGCAGCGGCACGGGAGCAAGGGCAAATGGATTAGGGTATTGGAGCCTTAGTGGGGATTACTGGGCAACAGAAGGTAAGCAACGAGATTGGTTTTCCCCCAAACACATGAAATTAATATATTCCCAGATGAAATAAAACACTAGCAGAACACTTCCTTTGAAAATGAGATTAGTACCATCAAGGCCTACAAAAAAAAACAACAGGATACAGAGCACCTCAACATTGTCATTGTCCAGAGGAAATTACTACCAGGAGAAACATGCTCAGCCCTGTTTATACCAACCAAGGAGGAAAAATTCCACACAAATGAATACATTTTACAAGTGTCTGAACACGTCAGACAGCGTGTTAAGGACCAAACTTGAGATCATAGTGTAGGAATGTCCCAGCTCTGCCAGATCTACGGATGAAATGAGTTGTTTTTTTCCATCTCTAGTTTCTATTATTCCTGTCAACGGGCAACAAGAAGCAGGACCAGGACTGCTGACTTTAAGATGTCATTATTTTGCAGTAATTTGGTTTGACCGGGGTTAAGCCAATACTAATGCTCAATCTAATTATTCCCTGAAGGAGGGCATTATTTTATGAAAATGAGCATAATTTTAAATCAATTACACAGATGCAACAGACATCTAAGTTTTCAGCTCATTACGTAATAACATCCCGAGATAAAATTCTTACAGCTCTTCTTGGGTTTTTACTTGCACTTATTATTTCAGTAGCTGAGCATCTGTAAGCACAGAATCCGATTACATTTTCTGCAGGATATTTTAATTCCCTCGGAGAGATTTCTTGCCCAAATGTTTTCCTGTGTTTGGAATGAGGCTGGCCAAGGCCCCATCTCAAGGAGGTCTCACCTGAAAAGAGCAGCCAGAGTTGGCCTCTTAGGGATTCTGGGATTCCCATAGCCACAAGCTTCCTGATCTTCTCCGTGCGAAACATGCACACGGTTCTGCCATACTCAGCAAAGTGGTCATCCCACAGACTCTCTTTTATTTGCTCCCTAGACTGGAAACAAGAAGATATCTTTTAGAAGAACTAACTACGTGCAAGTGAGACCTGGCACACTCAAACATTTTCTGCAGGATATTTCAGGGACTAGTAGATGTAGGAAATTTTCCTCATTTTGCATACACAATTGGGAAATCTTTTCCAAGGAATAAAATTTTCCTCATTTTGCATACACAATTTACCACATAGGGGAGAGCAGAACTAATCAAAGACAGAAATTACACATATCTACCAGAAAGCATCAGACAAAAAAGAGAAGGAAAAAAAAAAAAAACAGTCAAACAGAGAAGCCACTCCCCCATACTTAGCAAGCACAAAATACAAATGTGTATTTGTACAATGTGATTCTACCAAGAAAAAAAAAAGAAAAAGAAAAAGAAAAAAGGCACATTTGAATGTTACCATGGCTACTCTAAAACTTCTGCAATATTCCCCAAAACTTACATACCTTTCCAAAGTCAAGGCCTGCCCCTCCCGACTGATGAAAGTCTGATCTTAGTGCTTCTGCGTTGAGCAAGTAACTGCTCTCCTTTTCGCATTCACTTTTGTCCCCTCTTCCCACGTCCCCAGACTCACAGTCCCTGAACACACACGTTGACCCAAACACGGGAGTGTTCTGCAATACAGTATCAAAGGAGGCAAAAGACAAGAAGAGGTGAACAAGCATGTCTTGATGAGTGCAGGGCACAAAGAGCAGCCTAACAACTTTCTGGTTGTGCTGTTTGTTGCGAGGCTGTTCAGGCTTCGTATCAACGCTACGAGAGCCAAGCTTCACTCCATCCTCTGCAGTCACTGCCCAGATGCACTGAGCACTGCAGGACCCACCACTTTCACCTTCTTCTTTTTAAAGGAAAGGAGGACAGAATGAGACTTGCCTCCTGGATAATTCTGACTGGAGTTCTTCACACTGTCAGTCTTCCAAGTTGTCTACAGGGTGGCTAGGGGCAAGGCTGGCCCCCAAAGCACTGCAGGTCTGCCTGGGGCCAGGCCTCGCCTCCGCTTCTGAGGAGCTCCACAAGGTTTCCAGCAGACTGGGGAGGTCTGTGGGAAGGGTAGCCCTGGCCTCCAGCGTATTCACTGCTCCCCCCAGTTTGGGGTCAGCCATGAACTTGCTGAGGGGCCACCCCAGCCCATCATGCCGCTCATTAATGAAGGCTTCAAACAGTACCGACCAAAAATCGAGACCATGGAATGCAGGACAACAGAGCACTTCGGATATACACAATGAATTTATAACTTAAAGAAAGAAAACAACAGAACCGAGTACCTGATTCCTATTTTTCAAGTTGGACCAAAAATCGACACCACGGAATGCAGGACAACAGAGTACTTTGGATATACACAATGAATTTGTAATTAAAAGAAAGAAAACGACAGAAATCGAGTACCTGATTCCTATTTTTCAAGTTGTTACAGTGCGCTGGGTTGCAGGAGTTCACTTCTTTTAGCCTCTGGAGCAAGTTTTCCACTAAAGTATCCCGGTCCTTCAGCTCAATGAACTGGAAGGCAGTCTTGCTCCTTATGCTAATAATGATGGGGTTAGGAAGCAGGCTTGTGTCCTCCATCTTTTCTATGGTGATTACCTTCCAAAATATTACAGAAAACACATTATTCACCATTTCGCATTTTCAAGCATTCTACCTGACCAAAATGTAAAATACCGACATTTACTTGCACACACACTTTAAACACAACTATTCGTATTGGTTTTCCTGTGTCAGACATACCCTCCCACATGAAGGACTAGGATCTCTTTAAAAGCCCAACGCAGACACGAAGTACCCCAGATACATTTTTTTAAAGACAACTTCTTAATCCAATTTTGGAGAGTGGAATAAAGAAAGAAGAAAGATAAGAAAAGACTGTGATGATTATCAGACAATTCAGAGGAGGAACAACTTAATCAAATTGGGTGTGGGGAAGAAAATTTGCTTTCACGTTTTTAAAGACGGGGGGAAAATGTTGTTTTGTTGTTATGTAACATTCTCTTTGTTTTGTATTTCGGTACCAGTGGAAGGTAAGTTGCTACAGTTAAGATGTCATTTGAATGTTACTCTGTCATTAGCTGAGGATGAAAGGGAAGCTTTAATTAAGAGCTCCTCACAACCCTGTATCCACTGCAGATCAGGCAGGTGTTTGCTGACAGCCTCCTCCTCTACTCCCACCACCTTCCCATGCATCCTCCCTCCATTTAAGCTGCTGTTTTCATGGAAATTTGGCAGCTCTTCCATGCCTCCAGAATGTCCCTTTTTCTGTCAGCCCTATAGGTCTGTAGTGTGCACAGGTTTGCTAGAGTTTGTCTATGGAAGGAGAACATCAACTCTTCCGAATTATACCCAGATATACCCGTAACAGATAAGGATGTAACGCTGTTATATTGCTAGAATGTCTCCATCAACGTCAAGGTGAACGTGTGTATTTGTGGAGCTGGGAGCTGGGAGTCTTGGAGTGATTAGAATCTGCTTTTGCAATGCTCTATCATGCTCCACTATCTGTCAGTGATCCATTTGGAGAATCACGTTGACTCACCCACTTGCATTTTAGGAATTTTATACCGTAGTAAATCCCAGAACAAGCGTTACAACAATCCTGTAGGCACGGGGCTCACAAACAGCCTACTCTCCTCCATCAAATGACAGTTTACAGATAAATCAAGTGCCAGCGGATGCCTATAAAAGAGAGACAGACATGAACTTGAAATGAGACCAACAACTCTACCTCTCTAAGTGGGATGATAACATTGCAGCAGCCATCTTCTTTGCTGGCAAAACATATATATGTGTCTGACGTATACATCCTTCCTGCCGTGTGACAGCGGCTAAACGGTGTCCACAGAGAACAGTCCAAAACTTCATGGAGCTTCTCCTGCCTGGGCAATCTGAAGAAAGCCCGAAAGAATTCGTTCTGCGCTCTGGCTTCAAGATCCCTTAAGAGAAAGCATTAAGAACCAGTCACGAGACCCGGAAATACAAGACATCAAGTGCAAAGGTTTCTTTTTTCACCTTGTCAATCTCACCAGGAGCAAGAAATAGAGAATAAAAGCACTGTACTTAATCTTCATACTACCATCTATATGACCAGATCGATATAAAACTAGCTTTTAAACACAAAAAGAAACCATCAATGTCTTTGTGTTTAACAATTTGATCAAAAGTCATTACTAGGGAAGAACACTGATAAATTTAGATCAGTCCTCGTGTTCTCATTTAGCCATACATTTCCTATAATGATGATTGCTTTAATGCCTTCCAGTTTCAAAGAGTTAGCAATTTCAGTGCCTAAAAGGTAACTTTCATTTGAAGAATGTGCTTTTATTTTTTCTTCTTCTTTCTGAGAATTGAGGAGAGATTGATAGAGTTTCCTGTTTCTGTTCCCAGCAACATCACCAGAATTCTGCAACCTGCACCACAGGGATTTGCTTCTGCACCCAAACAGAGTTAATTTGCTCCACAAGCATTACCAAAGCAATCAGTAACAGATCAGCTAATGATGGCAGCAGTTACATCACCACATCCTTGGCTGGATCATCACATCCTCGCAAAATGCAGAGCAACTTCAGGCCACTTAGACACAAGAAGGAATAACAGCACCAGCCAAATTCAGACTGGATTTGGCTTGCTTCCATTCACCCATCCACATAAGCAAGAGAAATTTTATATAAATAAACATTTTATTTTTGAACACAAGCTAGGGTTGTTAGGAGTCTTTACCCCTTCCCCTTTAAATGCTAGGGATTCTGCAACAATTTACAGAGCTCTGCAATTACACTATTCACAGTCCATGGCTATTACCAACAGCAATCCCAGAAACTTCAGGACTTAAATTCTAACATTTTCTTTGTTGCAAGTAAGTGTTTCCAAACATTACTCACCTTAAAGGAGGGAACAGTTTTCTTATATAATATATATGTATATTTATAAGTGCTTGACTTTCTTGCATTGAAAGAATTTAAAGCGTGGGCTGAAGCCTAGAGGGAGTGGTACCCTGTGACTGTAAATCCCCTCTCCACTCCTTCCTCCACCCTCCACTTCTCCTCTCCCTGCCCCTAGTCCAGCTGCATAAAAATAAGAAAGTTATATAAATGAAGGCTCACCTCCAGCAATATGTAAAGGGCAGGAGTGTGCTTCCCCCCCCCCCTTTTTTTTTTTTTTTTAAGTTTCATTTCAATCTGTAAAAAGCTAAAAATATGTGAAACAGGGAGAAAGTGAAGGAAGGATCTCGCAGGAGTTACAGAAAAGACAGAAAGCACTTGAGCAGAGTTCTGCTGCATTTTCTTCTACTGTAATTATCTTCCTTAACGAGATTATCCAAGGAAAACAGACAAATAGACTCCTGTTTTTCAAAGAACAAGGAGAAACTCCCTTTGGGAAGGAAGACAAAGAATTCCCTCCGAAGTGAAACTTCCACAGCAAAAGAAACTCTGATAAATGCCTGCAGTGATCTGCTATTGTGACAAAGCTGGGTCAGGATATGCCTCCTAGTTAACTCAGTGCAAAAATATTTTCCATTTCTGCACAACACAGATGAATGTTACTGATAGCATCTACAGTCGGTCCTGCGTAGGGCTGTTTTCTCCCATTACTCTGCTGGGAAGGTGAGTTCCTGCCAGAATCTATTCAGCTCTTACAATTTCTTATAATCTCTTTAAGTTAAAAGACGCATTATATAGAAGAATCTATAGAGAATCTCAGTTAACAGAGACTGTCAATAATTTAAGAGCAGACTGTTTCAAATGCTCCAAAAATCTGCATGCCAATTCTGACTGATTTTGCTGCATCTCCTGGGGCTGCAGGCTTCGAACACCAAGTCTTTCAAACAAGAAATTCCCTAGCTGCAGTTTTTTTTTTTTCTTGAAGGAGCTGAAGAAAACCTTTACCGTATTTGAAACTAAGTGAATTCACAGAGCAGTTTTCTTTGTGACACAGCAGCCGGCTCCGCTCGCCCAACATCGCAGAGCTATTGACTCACTGAAGGACCACGCAGGGCCGCGACTCCTCACCTCATCCACAGCTGCCCTCAAGAAAAGTGCTGAAATAAGGGATGACTTCTGGGAAGGCAGCATCCAGGGCAGAAAAACAGTAGCTCAGGCATGAGATACTGTCAGCACTTGTTGCTCCAGCAGAAGTTTTATTAGGAAGGGGCTCACACTGGTTCTATCTCCTGTTAGGTGGGCAAATGCTAAGGCTTCTAGCAAGTGCTTCCCTCCCTAAGTATAGACAAGTACTGCAGCTCATCAAGAAAATCAAAATGAACAAATTTTACAGCATCTCAAATGAAGACAAAAAAAAAAAAAAAAAAAAAAAGACCGGCAGTTCTTTAAATGTGATACAGCAAAGATTGAGCAATTGGTCCAGGTCACAGGCTACCACAACCTCCATTTGAGTTTCAGAACACCTCTAACATTGACCAGAATTTTATACCTCCTGCCCAAGCTGTTTGAAATTTTCCTCTTTGCTTTTCCTAAGAGTTTTGGCTTTTGAGCCAAATGTGCTGAACTGATACCCAAGGAAACAAGGAAAGCTAACATATAAACACGTGCTATTAATAACAGCATGTAAATAATGTTCATCATGTGTATAAACATACACCAGTAGAATAAAAACCACAACACAAGTACCTCTGTTCCCTACTTTTCAGAGGGGTGAGCAGGCTCTCTCCTCCAGTCTTTTTTAAAATACAGCTGCAATTAATACGGTACGGTTCAGGATTCTCGGATTATCTCCAATCCCAGCCCGAGAAAGTGAACCGCAAGACTGAACCACAGTAACTTTTTGTGCGTGACCCACGAGTTACTTCCTTTAATTTAAACCTCTCCGAAGGTAAGACACAAGCCTAAAAATGCGCCCCAGGATCAGGAAACTCCGTGTTCTGTGCTGGCCGTCAAAGGTGTTTTCTCCGCTGCAGACCTGGCGGCGGTCGCTTGGCAAGGCCCGCAGGCCAAGAACCAGGCCCCGTAACGTGGGGCTGCAGAAACGGGAGGGAAAAAACAGCTCCCAAATGACTTGGTACCCAGCTGACCTCTCGCTTTTGGAGATCGAGTACCTCTGGGTGCTTCTGTCGCTTTTCAGGCTCCAGAAACGGACAGATTTTGAGAGGAACCTACCCGGCAACATTCACCGCGTGTATCCGAAAAAATACTAAACCCCTGCGGCAGCAAAAACTTATTGCAGCCAGGCTTGGAGAAACTACCGGCTAACTGCCAGCACAGACTTGTAAACAGGGGCCAACGTAAACGCAACGTAATTCTTTGGTACAGCGGGGGCAGCGGAGCTGTCCCTGGGGGAGACTGCCGCCTTGGCGGACGCCCTGGTGGCTCCTCACACGACATGGCGCCGCGGCGGCCACGCGGCCGGGCCCCGCTCATGGCTGCCAAAGGCTCCCTGCGCTCCCTGGGCCTCCACGGCGGGGTCTGCCGGTATTTCCAGTGTTCAGCATGCTCAATGGCAAGCTGAGCAATTGAACAGGGACCGCAGTTATCAAGGCTGACTAACGAGCCAAAGGACATGGTTAGTATTCAGTCCAATATTCGCAAACTGAAGGAATGACACGTAGGAAGAGAGACCTGGGGGTTACCAGACATCTTTGAAATATGTATGAATCGCCGAAAATACAACTGGTTGCTGTAAAGAGAGAGAAAATCTGTTCTCTCTAATACTGCTTGGATAGGACAAGAAGCAATGGGCTTATTCAAGTTAGAGTCACGTTAGGTTTTAGGAAGGACTTTTAATGGTAATACAGTGAAGTATTGGTATGGATTTGGGCATTTCCATTACTGGAAATCCTTAAAAACAGGTTGGACAAACATCTGTCCAGAACAACACAGAGATAATTCAAACCATGCCTCTTGCCAAGGGGATGGAATAAAATTAGGTCCTTTCTAGTCACATCTTCCTTCTTGCTTAAGTTCTGTGGCATTCTTAGATTCTGTCTCAAAAGGAGCTGTGTGGATCAAAGTGACATTTAATGACAGTAAGATATTTCATTTCGTTTCTGTTCATTTTAGATCAGAGTTTAAACCCCTTTTTTGCTTTTATATCAAGCAAAGCCATCCTTATTGACAATTCACAGCTGTGCCTGAAGAACAGACTCCAACCAGGTTAGACCTTAGAGAAACGCATCATCCTCCTTTTGAAACTTTACTGACACTGAAGCCGTTAAATCATGTGTTTAGCTCAGGTCATTTCCCTAATACATTTGCAACTACATTTGCGTTCTGAAAGAGATGAAAATAAATACAAATCTATAGCAAAGATCCTACTTTCTTATCAGAAAAGGAGGATAGCTACCCCATGGTCCACACAACTCTGCCGGAAAAAAACAGCATTTTTAACTACCAAACACCTCAGCCTCATTTGTTTTTTTAGGGCAACTAAATGGTTGTTAATCCCTTTGCAATTCATTGTTCCAAACCCTGTCCTCCCATTCAGAAAGATAGAACCTGCATTTTATCTTTTATTGACTCTGGCCATGACGTAACTCATGAGTTTTCTCTCTCCACTCTGCAACTGCAAGAGTCCCAGAAAAGAAAGCAAAGACTTCTGTTTTACAGAGTGCAGTATATATGGATCATAATGATACTAAAAATGACTTTATTTAAAAGAAAAAATAAATATATTGAGATGAGTCCCCTGCAAAAGAAATCCCTCAAAAACAAAAGCAGTCCATAGAACCTTCCTTAATTTGACTCAGTTGGAATAATTTTAATGTGTGGCTTGCTGCTTTCATTTTATAGATGACATTTCACAGTATTTGTTTCTAAACCATGCACAGGAATTAATAAAGGTAATGCATTGGGGGGAAAAACGTCCAGTGAGAAATAGTTGTTCTTGCAGTATTACAGTGCCTTCCGAAGCAAAAGCAACAAGCAACCTCACACAACAAAAAAGCTCAACCCCCCAAAACACATTAGCATTAGAAACCAGTTTATCCACTGTTCCAACTACAGTCTGGTCTTGCTTAATCACGTTACACCAAAGCGGTTACCGAAGTGTGACAAAGGGCACCAGGAATTGCAGCCTATCCCCAGCCACTACCTCCTTCAGGCAGAGGAAATGCAATTTCAGCATCTTCCAGCTTTTCCCTTCTGCCATCTCAAGTTACAGCCCAGCAGCTTGGTTAGCATCTCGCCCACAAAACCTCCAGCAAACACGGTTTTATGCGTCCCCCGCCTCATTCCTTCCCCCTCATCCCTCCATTTTATAAGTTAAAATGGAGGAGATGGAAAGAAAAAAGGAATACATATGTGGGATTATTTCTAGTGCTTTTTGGTTAACATACTTGCTATTTTTCCCGAAGTGCCACTAGGTACTTTCAGGTTGGTTCTCTGAGAACCTCCACATTATGGCATATTACTAAGCTGCTACTTCTGCAATTTTAGGACTCCTTGACTTTTTCTTACAGTTAACACCTTTTGAAACAAGGCTCTTTCGGAAAGAGGAAATGACAAGATAAAAATCAGTAGATTCTCCCCACATTTTTTTTTTTGGATCACGCTTCCTCTAGCTTTAATTTCCTTGCTTCAAGGATATAATTTTTATTTATTTTTCAGTCCAAAAGCAGGAGAGTGGTGGAATAAAGAATGAAAAACACAGAAGGAGACTTGAAAGAGATATATTACACAGTCAAAACACATATCCTGCATTTCTTAGGCATAAAGCCCAAAATATTAGCAACATCCACTTACACATTTTTAAAACTAATCATAGCCATTGTGTTTAAAGGAACCTGGGCTTTGAAAACAAGCCTTTGAGAAGTCTGATACAGTAGTGATCAGCTGCAATCTAACAAACATCTCAAAAAGAATTTCTTGATGATGTCATGGATGAAATCCTGATCTCAACAATTTTACTTAATGTGTGTATATAAAAGCTAGAAGAAAAGTTTTTTTTCATTATCTTATGAAACATTGCAACTGTTTAGCAGAGGCGCTCTTAGCAAAGGCATTTAGCAAATGCACTACTAGTGCAAAAATACACCCCTGAAACTATTCTTTTTTAAATGATACCCTGGAAGTAACACCTGGCTAAATCTTTTAGCTCTGGCAAAAGGAAGGAAAAACTAAAAACAATATGATTCACAGTGGATGCTCTACTTGCATTTATTTTGAGAAAAAAAAAAAAAAAAGTATTTTAAGCTAACACTCATGCCCTAGGCAAATTCCAATTTTGGCTATCGCATTCTGCCCACATAAAACTCCTCTCTACAGTTGCCCTTCCCCTTTCAAATAACAGCAAATAAAACAAAGTTCTGTGTTGTGTTACTCTCAGAAAATAGTTACCAATTTCTCCCTAGGAACCAAATGCATTTCTGCAGTGGGAGAGGAATGTATGGATGCATTTCAGAGAGGAACTGCACAGAACTGACAGCAGCAGATCAATCTCTCACCACAGCTGGCGTGGGCTTTTTGTTTGTTTGTTTTCTGGTTTGGCTTGATTTCTACACCTGCTTGTTCACTATAGGAACCCTACTGAGGAATCCTAGCTATCAGATATGATCAGAAGTAATGGTTCTACAGGACTGACAGCTCTAGGAAAACCTCTGCACAGCTCAAGTTGTAAGCAAAGCATGCCACAGTTCAAGAAACATGAAAGGCAGAAACTATCTGCCACAGGAATTTCCCTTTACAGGGAATTGCACTTTTAGAGCAAAAATAAAGCATGCATATGTTTGTTCCATATATATATGGAGCATACATGCGTGTGCGCATATCTATATGGAACAAACATGCATACGTATATGTATATGGAACAAAGTTTCTTGCCTACAAATTAAAATGCACCTATTTGACACACTGTGGAACATTATAAAGTCTGTTTTTTCTCCCCCTCTAGCCAAGTAGACTTTTGAAGTTTTGCCTCACTAATAAAGGGAACCAAAAACGCTACTTTACCGCAGCGCGCACAAGGAGGAACAATTCAGCTTTTTACCTCTTCGTAATCTGAGTCGGATCCTGCAGGTCTGGATCCAGCTCAAAGACCTCATTATCTAGCAGCCTTCGGAGCGTGACATCCGCCAGCTGCTCCATTATCCTGAAGGCCTCCGCGATATTGAGGAACGTGGAGAAATCCCGCTCTTTGTTGGCAGTGGTGACGCGGACGGTATCGGCCATGAAGACGTTGGAGGTTCTTTCCAGTTTCTGGACCTCAACCCAAGGAATGACAAGTTTTACTGAAATTGGAGAAAAAAGAAGTGTGTGTTAGGAATGCTTCAGTTCTAGAGGTTTGGGGATATGCAAAGGCAGAATGAAACGTAAACAACGGCAGAGACAAAACACTCATTTTTACAGGCAATAGGCAAGTTTAAAAAAATGAAACGTGGGTACTTGCCCCAACAAGCTTTTTTGCCCTTAAATATTTTTCTATCTTTGTAAAAAAACAGGGAGGTCTGTGTCTGCCAAACACCTCCAGAAGCTTTGTTCATAACTTTGTTACAAGATGTTTCTGCAGCTTGCTTAAAAGAGCAGGAAGAAAAGCGGGGAAGTGACCTTACAGGCAGGAGGGGAACTTGGGCCAGTTACATGTACAGTATTTTAACTGTAAAGGTTACTCCTATACAAAGAGAAACTTTTGCACATGGACATCTTGGAAGCTTATGTTCTAGATCATCAGGGAAAATCACTTACGCATGGGGATATTCCTATTTTGGTTACCATTTTATTTGAAAGTTACAACAGCAAATTCTGATACAAACATTCGTATAAACAATAACTCAATACATTCAGAGAGTGGTCTGTATAGTAAAACACTCTGTTACATCATATAAATAGAAACAGAAGAAAGAACCAGCTTATTTGGATAACCACTGAAGGATGTACTTGCCTCTTGTACGAATTTTTGGCTAGCATTTAGGCCAGGAAGGACTTTAAAATCGAATAGATTTCTACTTAACAACTGCTGGAAGCTGCCCAGGGATCTCTGTGCCAGCAACCCAAGCCGATGACCTGCAACATCCCCAGCCCGTCTCATGGTGCCAGCAAGTAATAAAAAGGCAGGAATAACAAACAGTCACACGCACCGTGCTCATCCATTACCATTAGTCACAGGAGTTTAACCCATGGCAAGTTTGCTGCGTTACATGAAGCACAACTGTCAAGCTTATTGACAGATTATTTTCTTCTTAAATAAAGTACAGCTGCGTCAACACGCCAGCTGCAGCGAGCGGTCATAAAATAGCCTTTATCGGCCGGGCTAGGGAGCAAAGATTAAAAACAGTGCTGTAGCAACAAGGTTACTGCTCAAGCAGATCAGAATCACACGGGGCCTGCAGCGTTTGCTGTAGTGGCAGCAACTGCAGTAGGCCAAAGCCTTTCAAGAAAGGACCAAAGTCTGCGACATTTCAGAAAAACTGTATTTAAGAAGGTAAAAACTTGGCGCTTCCTTTCAAGAAATCTGACATCCTAACCATTAGAATTCTGCAAATACTTGTAAGTCAGATAGAAGGAGACTTGCCATGAGGAAAGTTCTGCACACTCACACAAAGCAGAAGGGAGCCTGAAGATGGGATTGAGGATGGCTTTCCACATCATTTCAACATAAAATAAAACAGCACATGCCAAAAGCTGAACATTTAATACTTTTACCTATAAAAGTTACTTCAGTCTGCTGTTTTGGGGAATTTTCTTAAGAGTTAAATAAAAGAATTAATTTTATTGCAACTCATATACTGTTTTTCTCCCAGCCCAGTGGTGAAGGCAGCAATAATTGTGATTTATCAGTGTTATTTTCTAGACCAATTCAACCAATGTTACCCTGTAATTATTACCTGCAAGGACAACGAATCCTTTGTTCAACTTACGAAGAGAAAAAAATTCTCAACTATTAACAACTAGACCTGTGGTAAATCTGGATTATTCAGTATAATTCAAGTGGTTCCTACATGTGACAAAAACGAGCCTTGTGAATGCAACAATCACATTTATCAGAAACGGGGAGGCGGGAAGCATTTCAAGGTATAATGTTTCACACTGAGTGAGAGAAGCTTAAAACAAAACAGAAACTCTCATTTTTTTATTGCTCATTTCCAGGCAAATGCGCAGGAACATGAAGGCAGTAAAACTGGCTGTAACATTGAGTGAATGGTTTATTTTCCTAGTTTAAAATGAGAAGTCACAAACATGTATCAGATTCGTTGTTTGCGGATTTCTTTGTTTGGTTTGGGGGTTTTTTTTTTGCATTTTCATCTTGAGTTATTATTAAAGAGAAAGTATTTCTTCTTAAGATAGCACAGTGTGATGTTCTTCCAGTATCATTTAACAACCTAAGGTACTGCATAAACAAAACGTCTGGAATAATATGAAGGATTTTTCTCCTCTCCTTCCTCTCTCACTCTTTATCCTTCATTAAAAAGTATCTTTTTTTTTCTCCTGTGTGCGCTTTGGCAGGCCAATTATCTTAGATTTAATGAGTGAACGTCTGCAATGACAGCAAGCAGCAGTAATTCAAAGGAAATTAAATAAGTATTCAGATATGTAGTATGCCTCAAAAATTCCATTATGTTCTTTCAAATCAAATTCAACTCTTGTATTTATAACGAGCAACAAACATGTTAATACTTTGAATCTAACTCTGCCAATTTCTTGCAGATATGACAAAGTAATCTCCAGCTCTAGGTATGTCCTTGTGTGTTTTAAGCCTTAGCACTTAACAATTACTATCTTACTTACTGTTACAGTAACGTGCTTCGGATTTAAATTTACTATTTAAAAAACAAACAAACAAAACCCACCAACACAACCTTCTCCTAATTGTTTTAAGTGACAATTCTTGCTGGGTATATTTTGACTGCCCTTGCTGAAGATCCAGCAGAATATCCAGAACTCACAAAAATATCAATTCAAGCATTACTCTTACGAAACAGAGGAACGTCTCACATTTAAACAGCTACATGTGTTTTTACTTTCCAATATCTATTCTTTTGAGCTTTTCATTCTCATGCTGCTCTTCCTCTGCAGTAGGAAATAATGACCAAAGTCTTAGAATTAGCTTCCTAATGTATGCTTTGTATTTTTAGTCACCATCACATGCAAAATTGCCACTTTGCGAAGAGCCTAAAATCCTGGAAACACTTGTTTTAACTTTTCTGTGCTGTTGTTCTGAAAAGCACGGAACAGAAAGCTGCCCTTTTTCACCTGAGGATACTGAATTTTCCCACCGCTGTTTGGAGAGCAAAACACAGCTTTGCTCCCCGTTCTCTTTCCAAGGCCCTAGCTAAGCTCACATCCCTGTCAGCAGGCTTTCTTAGACAAGCAGCGCTTCCTCTGCTGCCTTGCTGTCTATTCCTGCACCACCAACAGCTGCACTAAAAGCAGCTACTATTGTGCTTCTACACAATAATATGTGGGAGGGACTGCTCCTCAGTGACCACTTTCGGCATTAAAACGATCTATTTAAGCATCTGTAGGAGGCCTCTTACATTTAAAATCTGCTTATTATAAATAAAAAAAAAGCAACTGTATCTACATACTTTTACATACTCATTTTTATGTTCATATTTTCTAATCTGGTAAAGAATGAAGTGAAAACAAATTAAACAAAATATTTCATCCAAACAAACCAAAAACCCTCAGAAGACAAACTTCAGAGCAGAATACATTTTTTTCAGTCAAAAAAAAAAAAAGGAATAACTGCTGTAAGTTATATTTACATCTTTGCATAGCATTAGATTTCTTACATATTTACACTTACACTCTTTGCCCAGGAAGAAGGAATAAAAACAGAGATGATTGATACTCAAATA